AGGTGTGCATATCTGATACGATTTCATTTCATTTCATTGTATACTCATAGCCTACAATATTAGAAATATGTGGTGGAAATTATAATCGTAAATATTTATATTAATTTTGTGCATATAAACTAGTCCCTTTTCTGAATTATGTTAATATATTGGGGTTATTTTTTTAGAAAAGTCGGTGGTCGATGGCGGTCAATTAACAGGAATCGGAGGTCGCCGGATGTCTCCAGGAATGGATTTAGGGAATGGCGGCTGGAGGCGGCACGTTCCGAAGGGCCCTTTACGGGGATTCGAGGGTCTCCATCGCTAGTATGAATAGATGAGATTTAGTATACTTTCATTTCGATTTAGATATCAACTGGAACCGACGATTTCGTTCCCTATATCTAGCGAAAAACAAACATAATTGGGTTTAACATTCTGCTCTTCTGCAACAACTGGATTAATGAAGACGGACAACGTGCGATATGAATGGCCATTTTGCCCGAGCAGTGTCGTTTCCACCTACTCGTCTTCGGGATCCCGATGTTGGGCTTGTATGTTCCTCGGGATTTTCCGGTGAGGTTTCCAGGTGTCAGTGGTGCAGGACGGGGGGTCTGGCAAGCGTTTAGTCGTTTGAATGGGACGGAAAACCGAGGCGTGTACGTGGAATTGGCGGTAGAGCCGCTGCCCGGGCAAAATTCACCATATAGCACACTGTTCTGCAACTTCCACTTCCGCTTAACCGGTCTACTGACCATTCACCGTCTGACTGACAGGTCGGGATAATCATGACTACTATCTTTACGAAACATAACAGAAAGCTGGAACAAGAAATTGAATTTAGAAACAGAAATACGCACGTTGATCAACTCAACAATAGTTTTAAGAACCTTGTAAAAGTAAAATGAAACTACTGCTAGTAATATGTTCTTGCCTAACCCGAGTGTTTCAGAGATATTATTTGTACTAAACCAAAAGATGCTGCTCCTAATGATAAAGCAATTTAAAAAACAAAACGAACGTAATTTCTAAAGCTGGTGTAATAACCAAAAAGTGAAATATTACTGCTATTCAGAATCGTCAACAATAATTTTTTTATAGCTGTAATAGTTGATAGATGTGTAGAGAATTCCACGTGCGATGGCTATTTATAGACTCGTAGACTCTTGTTCTGACTGTTATCGAACCGCTTGACTAGCCAGAAATCACTTTGAGACAAGCCACTGAAGCGTGCACATTCGCCGTGTCGAGTTCAGATTACAGTAGGGAAAATTTTGGCTGCATGGGGCCATAGATATCCTATAAAGACATAGATATCCTATAAAGACTAGATAGGCAATAAGCTGCTGACTTCCGGTAGAATAGAGTCGCCATATTGGAAGTTGCTACGTTGGTTGTAGTCTGTCAAAACACCGAGTGCATAACATAACCGCATGTTCATTTATTTACAATGCCACGGGCGTTCTCGGCTTAGTGTAGGCCGTTAAATTGTAATTTAGCCCCTTACAGCTATCATTTGGCCGTAACCAAGGGGTCTAGCCGAGGTTTAGTTTCTTCGATCCACACTCGTCATTGTATTGGACTATTGTAGGCCTAACGTAAACAAGGAAAAGTGGCCGTGGTACTGTTGATGATTCATAATATTTGTGTCTTAGTACAGGCGGTTACCAGCGGTGAAATGTGACACTGGAATCGGGTTTTATTATTTGTATACATTTTCTCGATCATATGAAATAATTCTGCTTTGTGGTCAGTAATCAAAATCATGGTAACAACAGACAGTGTCAGACTGACGCTTGTGCAACCTTCTTATAATAAATGGGCCTATATAATTACTCAGCCCGTTCTATAAAATACTGTGAAAATGTCTCAATGATGATCATGGATAAATATATTGGTAACTGTTTTTAACACAAAGTTAAATTGGAGAATAAAACTTCACAGCCCACCCGATACAACTACAATCAATATAGAAATAGAAAACCTGATCAACACTCAAACAAAATGAAATGAAATGGGATTAATGTTCTACTGCTCTGCTCCAACTGGGCTAATGAAGACAGGTCACTCAAACAAAATCAACAACCAAACTTTCTGGAACCCAGGAGGTAGAAGAAGTAATTAAGAAAAAAATCAAGGAGGATTTTATTTTTTTTTTTTTTAGCAGAAATGAACTTTTCAATACTGGATTGATTCAATAACTATAAAATTACTTAAATTTGTGATAATCATTTTTTTAAACACAATTTATATAATATTATTTTTTATATAATTTGATTAATCATTTTTTATTTAAAGATGCATTATGTAAGAGCTAAATCTGCCTATTGCAGGTCTTTTTCTGGATTCAAATGTAATATAAATTACTATTTAGACATTTACATAACAAGGCCATAATAAACTCTCTAGACCATAGGATGGCTCCGACTTTATGTAGATTAGAACACCGCACCCATTAAATAATAATATCACCTTAGCGGTTGGTGGACAATCGAGTCTTCGCTTATTATCTTGGGAATATATTGATCGACAATCGAGACTACAAGTATGCTATTTCTTCTCAACATTTCCAAAGCTCATAAATGCGCCCTGAATAAAGTAATTTGACTGAAATTTTCAATATATTCATTTTAAATTATCTATTTTTAAACTATTATAGCGAGAATGGCCAGCTCTTTGTATAAATCTTAAATAATGCATCTTTACCAATAATCATGTAAATCATTAAATTTGGATAAATTTAAAGGAGCTAAATCTCTAATCTTTGGCACCTAAAATGGATCATAAAGCACGTATTAATGTAATATGAGTGTATATAAACTGCTTTACATTCATATTTTCAACATTTTAATTGTAACTTCTAATCAGTTATTTTCGTCGAAAATTGAATGCCAATCGCTCATGCCTGGTAAGTCCAGTCTACATCACAAGTAAGATTTGATATTTCTTTTCTGCACTGATGCTTTGCCTCGTTACTCAATACGCCTCATTACAACTGGCACTTGAGAGCATTAGAGTACACGACTCGTGTTTTGATTTTAAAACATTCATTGTGTCTTAAATATTGGATATCAGGAGCCCTTATGTTCATGGCAAGATAATAACATCAATATTGAATGAAATGGACCAATATTAAATTCTAATTCGTGTCTCTTATGTCGAAGATTATGGATAATACTGAGTTAGAGACTTGGCTCCTTTAATAATCTACTTTTGTTTTAACAATCTTTTATTGTAAATCCTATAAATTTTAAAATCCTGCGATGTCACCACCATTGTATATATAAAGGCGTCGCCTGATTATTTAATGTAATCATGTAACAAAGGGTCTTATAACTCATAATGTTATGATGAATAAACCAACTCTCATTTCAACTTAAAATCTGTTTTTTTACCACTGTTAAGTGCTGATTTTTAAATATCTGTTTTAACATGTCAAACAGGATGCAAACAAAGCAAGGAAGGTTGTCTGTTTATATGGGAAGTAACTCTCATTAAGCTATGAATGCTGCATTTGGCTAACCGAAATGTCGACAAAAGTCGACATATGTACTTTAATGGTAATGTTATAAATGTCCACATGGGTCAGTTAAGAGTTAAACAAAATGGACTTGGTTAAAGTGTGTCTGCAGTTATCAAATTGCTTGTGGAGGTTGCCAATGCTGTCTTAGTTTGAAGAAAACCGAGACAACTGATCTAATTAAAGACAAGTTATGGTTTTCAACACCTTCATGATTTTCATAGCCATGGTTTGAGTCAAATAAATCAACAGCAAGACAGTCTGTTAAAACACATGTTTGAGGCCGCAACAAGTTTAATGAAGAGTTCACACGACAAACATCTGTCAACCTGCTTAAAGATGGGTTCCCAGAAAATTATTTATAGGGTGGTTATTTCCAATAAAAGTATGGCAATTTTGGTATATATGGAAGGTAGAGATATCCAATCTTACTAGAAAAATACTGGATTCCCCGAAAAACACTCATGGAGAGTATACAGGATAAAAATGTAAGGGTTCCCCTAATCAACAGCCCGATGATTAAGAATTTCTGCATGCGTGATGTCAAAGGTCACAAGCGAACAGTGGATAATCCGAGAATTTAATTAGGATTCGATAATAGTAAGCGATAAAAGACAACATCGTCTTATGTATTCAATGAATTCACCTCTGACTTCCAAGACGTGACGTTAACATAACCTGGTTTGATCGAATTTTAATAGCAGGGCATTCCTTCGTAATTACAATGTTTGAGAAGGATTTGAAGCATAATTATGACAAATTAATTAGTTTGAATATGTTTTTAGTCCATATATACCATTAAATCACCCAGTTTGTACGCGGGAACCAATCTTTAAGTGCTTTTCTGCAGACATTACTACATACACCAGTTTTCTAGTAAGATTGGGTGCCTCTACTTTCCATATAAAAAATAAAGGCTCATTGTCCTTTAAACAAAATGGACTTTGTTAAAGTGTGTCTGCAGTTATCAAATTGCTTGTGGAGGTTGTGCAGTTTTACAATGTGATGCTGTCTTAGTTTGAAGAAAACTGAGACAACTGATCTAATTAAAGACAAATTATGGTTTTGAACACCTTCATGAGTTTCATAGCCATGGTTTGAGTCAAATAAATCAACAGCAAGACAGTCTGTTAAAACACATGTTTGAAGACGCAACAAGTTTAATGAAGAGTTCACACGACAAACATCTGTCATCCTCCTTAAGTGCTTTTCTGCAGACATCACTACATACACTAGACTTTGTGATGGGGTCAACAGTCCACCATTTTGCTTGTTCTTCAAAAGATGGAAGACACCACAGTTATCAGAGGGATACCCAGTCAAAGAATCTTTGCAGATTTGACATGACAACTGTGTTGAAAGCTTACGGATGATCCACCCTGAAATGTACACAATGATATTCAGGGTAACCAAAGACAGTTGGTTTTTGCTGTAGCTGTGGTCCAAGAGGTTCCTTGCTTCTACTTCATACAAGTCAAGTTCACCATTACCATCATCATTTTCCGATTTCCCTGCATCTGGTGGCAAGTAAGTCGATGTACTGGCTTGCACAAGACTTGTGTCATCCTGGGCGATACAATTCCCTTCTTTGGAAACCTAAAAATATGTATGGCAAAAATTACTCCCAAAACAAAAAAATGTTTTGTAAATTGGCAATATGTATTCAGCACACTGCATGGATGTGCTTATATTTAGATTGATACCTCTTAATACCTCCATGATGTTTTGCTATTCATGTGAATAATTTGTTCATTCAAAATTACATGATGAAAGTAGCAATATATTAACTAAATCTGAGACAAAACACCTGGAAAGATTTTCTGCATTCAAAACCACTATTACAAATGTCTGAACATTTTTTACTTTGAACAAGATTGATTTGAAAACCAACAGCTACCAAGTTCCAATTGCTGTCTCTTGAAAATTTTTTCCTCACCTTCAAAGCACCACAATGGGTAATGATTCTCTTGAAAGAGCTTTCAAAAACTTTTGCAGAGGGATTGTTATTCCAACCACCTGAAAGAAATTTCAAGCAAAATGTAATGCAAGATAAGCCACATACAGCGAGTCACGAGCTCAATTATTATCTTCAAATATAGGATGGTCCTAAACATCCCTGTAAGGCCGATTTGGTGATAACCTCATCCAAGATCTGGTTGATAAAAATAACAACATACATGTACATCAAATATTGGATGAACAAATTGAGTTGTGGCACCTTGATTTTAAAGGAGCTAAACCTTTAACTTATTATCCATAATATTCGAAATTAAAAACACAAATTAGAATTCCATATTGGTCCCATATGCCCTTTAAGCAAAATTACAACAATTTTTTACTTACCACCCCGCCGGATCGCATTGAAAAACAATTCTAAGTGGTCCTGGCTTAATTTGTAGCATAGCAGATATTTCTGATTACCAAGAACTTGGTGTGCTATGGTCAATGTAGATTCAATTGCAATAATTAAACCTTTCCCACACATTGACCTAGGGAGAAAAAAATAAAGTTAATCTAGTACAAATCCATTACAAAATATAATACATGACGTAGAAAAAATAAGACTGTTGAATAATTTTAGTACATGTATAAATTAGAAGAACAAATCCAGATGCAACGAAAATAGATTTTAAAACATACATCAACGTGAAAATTAATGGGTTAAATATTCAAATCTAATTACTGCAATATCCATTTCATATAATAATAATGTTTGATATTTGTGTCTTTTAAAAATTTAAAGGCAAGTAATAATTGGTATGGCAGTAAAATTTACAGATAAAGAATCAACCTATCAGTTTAAAGACATTTTTTTGCCTATCAGACTAAATGTCCACACAACTGTGATATCAAAATTTCATGGGAAAATAGTCTTAAACAAAAAATAATTCTTTAAATAGAAATTAATAAAACATTAGAAACAATTAAAGATGCATTATGTAAGATTTAAATAAAGGGATGGTCGTTCTTGCTATAATAGTTAAAATAAATAGTTAATGAAAAATGAATATATTGAAAATTTCAAATTACTTTATTCTGAGCTAAGTTATAAGTGTTTGAAGTTTTGACAAGATAGAGCGTAGATTGTTTATTATCCTAGCAACGATATTTGACAATCTAGACTATCCATTTTAATGTTAAATTTTTTTAAATGGCTCTAATCTCGGGCATCCGATGCACTAAAGGGTTGATTATGTCATGTGAATAAATGTCTAAATAATAATTTATATAACATTTGAAGCCAAAAGAAAACGTGCAATAGGCAGATTTAGCTCTTGCATAATGCATCTTTAAGAAAAAAATCATTCCTGCACAGAAACAAATTACAACTCTTGAGAAATTTAATACAGAAACATTAACTGTCTAACATTTCAAAGCCCAACTCTCATTATGCTACCTTTTAGTTGTCAAAAGGGGCTGGCCATCGAGCATTGTGATGTTCAGAAGAAATGCCTCTGTATCTTTCAAAAATGACTCAGTAACAGCCAAGTTGCTAGCATTAATGGGGCTTTTGTAGCCCTTACCTCTGGGAGATCTACTGTTCAATATATCAAACAGTCTGTCGATACGCTAAATAATGGATACAAAAATTTCGATATTTAATTGTCATCCTCTAAACAAAATTAAAATATGTTTTCTTTACTATTGTAAATCTAGGCTGATTGGGATAAAAGCTACATATATTTACCTCAATAAACTTTACAGTTGCAAGACAATCCTCAAACCTCCTATCACCAATATCTTTCATGGTACGTAGAGCCTTGGCAACAGATGAAGAGAATAGCTGTGTAGCTAATGACACCTTCATTTTCTGCTTGAAAAACATGATGTGACGAGATGATATCTTATTACCCAATCTAAGACCGTCCTCTTCCTGCACTGTATTGAGCAAACTCAGGTACTGCCAGGAAACTTTACCATCAGATGTAACTAAAGCACCATAGGCCTGAAGCATGTTTCTCAAAAGTTTTATCATATGGCAGACGTCAAAAATTATGCACGTTTTGTGTGGTAGACCAGTAGTAATGTATGTTTGCAAATTATTTCCTGTGAAATCAAAGTTAGCACCAAGCAAAGTACACATGGAAACATTGGTGGCATGGCCATCCATAGTTAATGCATGCACCTGAAAGCCTAATTCATGCAGTTTATCAATGGTATGATGAACCAGTTGCTTCTGGGTCTCAGCTGTCAAGACCTTGGTGAAGAAGTAAGCAATGGGTGCTTTCCATCCACCACTCAGTCCAACTAACATGAAGACAAGAGCTTCTTTAGCTTCCCCATTTTCAGCACCATGACCCATATCTACATAGCCACTATACGTACCATCATGCCAGTTGTAATCTATGTGGCGACGGATAGCCATAGCATCAATCATTAGGCAACAACTGAAAAAATGTAAAAAGTTATCATTATATTGCTAAATACCGAGCTAAACATACAACTTGCTTGAGAATACTCTACAAAAGGTCACACACAAATAAACAAAGTAACTGTATTCCATAGTTATATCTCAGAGTTTAGTTTCAAAAATAAGATATCTACATACTCTTTTACTTTTAAATAAATAAATAGATTTTTCACAATCTTGCTCCAAAAAGGTCCATTTTCCTGGATTCTCTCAATATTGAAAAAATAAATAGTGGACCAACAAATATCACTTGTTTCGGTACAGTTTCTGGAAATTGAATGGTTTTACACATATAGGACCAAAAAAAAGGGTTCTATTTCCTGTAACGGATGGAAAATAGGTAGGGTAGGTAGGTGTTATTTTTTAAAAAAAAACTCATATCTAGATCCATAATAATTATGTTGTGTGCTTTCAAAGATGATGCAGGCAATATGAAAAATTATACTATGAGTCGGTCGGGTTACCAGAAACAAAATATTTTTATTTTTGGCCTAGTGCATAAGAACAATTATCTCATACCTTGTATATTCATCTGGGGACTGTGTTTTTTTTTTCTAAGTACCTCCAGCATTGCAACATTCAATCCTGGTGCCGAATCCACACTTTCTATCCAACTAAAAAAGACAAAGCATATTTTCAAAAACATACACACACAAATAAATAAACTTCTATGATAGTACTATATGGACCAGAAACCGAGCATGAGGTCATCACCACCAGCTTGGAATTGCGACGTCATATCTAATTCATTAAATCGATGCAGAATTGTTCAAAGAGAGAGAGAGAAATAGAGTTTAACGTCCACTCGACACAAACTAGGTCATTTTGGGACTAACATATGGTTTAATTTTATTTCAATAATTCGCTTGCCCGTATGGGTCTTTAGCAGTGGGGGGAAGCTTGAGTTCCCGGAGAAAACCAATGAGGTAATTTTTCGAAGAACAAGCATGCTATTTTCATGTCGATCAGACTTGACTTGAATTGATGGAGCCTTGGGCTTTTTCGAAGAGCTTCACCATAAGAACAACAAGAAGAAAAAGATGATTAGCGCTTGGGGTCCAGTTCCTGGTCCAAAAATTCTAAATTTGGTGAGGTTCTCCATCATTCAAGAAAGGGAGAAAGTAAGGTAAGAAATTGTTCACAATCACAGATATATAATTTCAAATAAAATTACCGTCTCAGAGATCTTGGGTGCGGAAGACAAATCTTGACAGTTTCACGAAGGTAATCATATGCCTTTGGAAAACTCAAGTGTAAAGACAAGGCAAAATCTCTTTGATCACTAGTGTAATCCTTTGACGGTCTCTTGAAAAGCTCACATGGGATATCTGCCAAAGTAAATAATTATAAAATATTGTGCATAAGAATTGAGAACATAATTAGGTATTTCTGTTATTAGATTAGAATTTAAAAATATTATACTCAAAATTCGATGAATCCATTAAAAATCATATGGTTAAAGAATAGATTATGTTGTTTTGTTTTTTTTAAATGAATGTCGGACTGAATGTTTTACTATCATTTGAAGTAATTGAATAGGATCTATAGTACATGTAGGTAACAACAGACCTCAAGACAACAGTGATATTAACACTTTGAGACTCAGTAAACAGATATTATTCCAAAGTGCAAAAATAAATACCTCCATATGAATCTAGCTTAGAGCGTAATTCCATATTGATCATATTCTTTTCATATAGATCATGCACCAGAACTTGACAAGTTTGTTTTGATCTTTGCTCTCGTCTCTGGCAATTATGTAACTTCTTTCTGGCAGTTTCAAGCTTTGCCTCCGCTTCCTGCAGTTTCCTTTTCCATTTCATTGGGGAACTGGTATATGAATGATCCTACAGATATATGTACAAACAGAAGTTACTATTAATACAAATATCCAGTAATGAAATATATGTAATGCATAACTTAATGCACATTATCACTTAAAGCTAACTCGCCAGAAGAGTACTGACATTGAATTTATGCTGATGATTTGGGCCTTACTCTGGGAATGAACGTGGGTTCAAATACCATTATGGGACAAACCCACTTTCAGTAGCGGAATTCCTACTTTATCCAAAAAGTGTAATCCCTATAAATACCATTAGGTCATAATTCACCTTATGCATGTGTGATAAAATCTCATGTATGTAATAATTTATATCATCATTTTTTATGAGTAAATATCAAGCAGATAGTTTAAATGAATAATTTAAAATATACAACACTGGAAACAATTAATGTTACAGATTATCAATTCAATCACAATGAATAACATACATGTAATTCTTGGTCACAACCATTAAAGGCTCAATACCACTCTTGTTGTAACTGAATAATATGCCCCAATCTTTATTCTGGTCAACAAATTGTACTATTTTACAATATTTCAATTAATTGATGATACAAATTTAATCTTAACACACCTAATTTAAAAATTTTGAAAAATTCAACATAATGGTTTGAAACGTCGAACGTAAACCTTTTATGAAACTTCCGATTTAAAAATATTTTCGAACCCTCTGGACTATTAAAATAGGATGTAATGGATAATTTAGACAACAGGTAGGACACTTAAACATCTAGTACTTAGATAGAGATATTATTTATTTTCTGGAGCTTTCAAGCCAGCAAGAGTGTTATTGTCCCTTTAAGAGAAAGATGGAAATTACCTGATTTATTACAATTTTATCTAAGTACTCTACATCATTTGGGTCAACAGCAGATGATTCAATTCCTTCAAGCTTTTCATTGCATGAATTCAGGGTACTCCTTACTTTGGACGTTTTGAGCTAAAAGAGTAAAATAATGATTTATTTATTGATCACAAAATATGATAGAAACTAGAAATACACTGTAAGGAATTTAATCATCTAGGGGCATGAATTACTTATTCAACAAGTCATGCATTAGTGAATCAATTACAACATTACATGCCAATATCGAAAACAGTCGAGATCTTTTGGGACTGGGATAAACCAACATTTCAAGTTTCGTCAAAATCGGACAAGAATTGTGAACTGTAGAGAGTCCACCCAAAAATTGTGGACGGACGGACAGGGGCAACGACAATATTCGTCCACTTGAAAATGTGGGCGTATAAAAAGCGAATAAAATAATATCACATCGACAATGACAGATAATACCCACGGAATACAACATCTAGAGAGTGAGAGCCAATTTCAGCAAAGTCATACCTGTAAATGAGGAGGCAGATTGAAAATAGTGGGGGCTACTCCTTCTCTCAGGCGAGTTATTTGGCCTGTTCGGTCAAAACAAGCATCTTCAAAATGCTTACTGCACACAAGGCTGTATTTAGACGGTTGTTTCATCCTCTTACAGTTGCGAATCCATACACGCAAAAGATCTGGATTTTTTTCAGCACTTGGAAACCTGACAATTAAAAAAGAAAATTAATTTCACCTTCGGCGACAGCTGTCAAGATCCTCAATTCTTTACTGTTTCATTATTTATTAAAAAATGCGATGGTCAGATCATTATATGAGTCATTTATACTAAAAATGGAGGATTTTCGATTATTGCTGGTACAAAAAAAAAGAAGAAAATCCAAGTCTGACTGAAAGCCATGATCAATCATTGATCGTCTGGCGGTCAGCTTTTGTTTATTGTGAGTTTGTGTCATTTTGAGAGAAGCCTAATTTGCTGTATCATTACAGTACCGGGACTGTACAGCACAGTGGACGCTTACGGCTTGCCCCGGGATCCATTCTCTTGATATAGGCCTATTGTTTATTTTTTTTTTATAATCGTCTCTGTAGTGTATCCGCAGGTTTGTGTGATGACGAGGTCCTCCTTCAAACTTCAACTTCAATGAAATACTCTGTCGCCGTGTCGGCTAATAATAACTTATAATACACTTACTTGTGAAATGTGACGCCTTCCGCTCGGCTCTGTGGATTCTTGTACGTGGTACAATTTATTGCATAGCATTGGGGTCCTTTTGAAGCCATTGCGAAAAAACAAAATACATGAAATCTAACGCTTATGCCCCAATACTTAGTACTTCCTGTTTACATAGACTACAACTTTCAAGATGGCGGCGCGTTGTGACGTTACTGATGATGCGCACTTGGCTTTGTGGCCTATCTAGTCTTTATAGGATATCTATGCATGGGGCACCCTAACATTATGTCTATGAAGCTGATTGTGTCCTCCTGCACTTACAATTAAGGGGAGGCAACCCCTTTTAAAGCGGACAACCGGAAGTCGTATCTTTAAAGAAAACAAGGAAGATGACGGCTTGTTGACATGTGTGACTTGTTGAGAAGAAAAGATGGACAAAGAAAATCTTACTTTGCGAACTGGTTTTGTTCTATCGCAGGTGGGTAGTTTTATCTATGTCGACACTGCCTATTGGAGTGAGAGTGAAATATTTTGGATCAAATACACAACCTTAGAAATTCATGAGACGTAAAACGAAAATTGTTCTGACTCACACTCTCAGTCAGTCACAGCCCCTATATTAGTATATTATGTCAAAGTACATATAGGCCTATACATAGTGGGTTAGTCACATACTGATGTGTATATTGTAAACATCATCTGTCATTACTGCATTTTATTAATGTCACTGTCCGCTGGAAATGTTACCTTTCCCTTTTATGAACAAAGAATATAAATAAAAAGATTTATTTCATTATCATGTCATATTCAAAATAACTATTCAAAATTGAGACACTGAATAACTGGTTTACAAAACATCCTATTATTTATATTTATGATTGCTCTAGAAGTTTTTGTACTCCTCAACCCACGTATGTAAAACTCTGCAATAGCAGTTTTTAATATTATTAACTCTCTCACTCAGAAATATGACACTATAATATTTGTACTGTTTTAAAATGATTCCTGCCCTTTTTATACGCCCACATTGAAATGTGGTCGTATATTGTCGTCTAGAGGCTAAAGTTAATATCCGATTGACTTTAAATTTATATACAGTGTTTAAGGCCATGAGACGAAGAAGCCTATTGATTTTCAGTGATTTCAGATAATTACTGCCAGAGTTATGGCCCTTGATCACTACAAAAAATCTTGTGGACGCTCTAAAGGCCAAAGTTAATTGACATTAAATTTATACACAGTGTTTAAGGTCATGAGACGAAGAAGCCCATTGATTTTCAGCGATTTCCGATAATTACTGCCAGATTTGACTTCAGATTGATACACAGAGTTTAAGAGCTTGAGACGAACAAGTATATTGATTTTCAATGAATTTTTATGACTTGAACAGCTAAATCCATGATATTGAAAGTTTTGTATACTAAACGTTAGCATGGGGCAGAACTTTATAAAAAACCAAACAAATTCTAATGGTTTTCTGATAATTACTTCCTGAGTTGTTACTCTTAATCAGATTTTAGTGTATTATAAATGTTTCATTACCGAAAGAAGTAAAAATATGCGACAACACTTGTTGACTGCCCGGACGATTTAGCTGCTGTGGGCATGTTTCGTTGCCTGGCAACCTATCTTTATACGCTCACATGGAAATGTCATATACATGACGTATTGTTGTTAGGGCTGGACAATAAATCAATAATATCGCAATATGTAAATTTTATTGACAATATTTTTTTGATCATTAAAAATACTGTAATAATCTAATTTATCTTTTTACTCGATATTATAGCAATTTCTTTAATAATATAACACAACACAGTTCTATGGATTAAACAATCACTATATTATAAACAGTAGAACGTTAAACCCCATTTCATTTCACTATATTATAGTGAATTGAAACATAGTGTAAATCAGATTGGTTATAAGAATTTATACTTGATAAATCTGCACTCAACACTGTTTTGTGTTCAACTAAGGCTGGACAGTAATTTCAATAAATCAATTTATCACAATAAGCTTATGTAACTTTTATTGACATTATATTTTGACTATTAAAGATATTGCAATAATTCAATCGTTTGGACTTGTTACAAGTCTTTATATACAGTATTATTGTCAGATGATGTCATGATATATATAAGTTTATATAGCAAGCTCACCACCATCTTTATTTTTCCGCGAAATCAAATTGATATTCCTGTTTTTAATCCCACTGAATCCAAGCAGATAGATTATCTAGCATTGATATTGCAGTAGATTAGGCTGTGAGAAATTTAGAGCTGTGCGATATTTCGTTTTTTCGATATAAAACTGTCACAGAAATAAAAAAACGTCAAAAATACTATCTTCAGAAAATATCGAAAAAATGCATATACATTTTCCGGAATGCAGCTTAGAATTTGGAGACTCGTGTTTAACTGGGGGTTTGGTAGCCGAATGATCTAACGCATGCAGTTTAAATCTTAAGGCCAGCCATTGAGTCATGTGGCGTGATTTCGATTCTGAGCATACATGTATATGTAACATGAGTGGGTTTTTCTCCGGGTCCTCTGGTTTCCTCCCGAAATGACCTAGTTTGTGTCAAGTTGATGTTAAACCCCATATCTCTCTCTTTGGCTCAAGTCAAACATATCTGGAAAGATTGTATTTCTTAATTTTATGTATGATTTGTAGTACAGAGTTTCAGAAGGCTGCAACCCTCTTGTTCTTTAAATCTGTAATAATGATATATACATATGTACTCAGAAAACTGTATTAATTACACATAGTATTGGTAGCATATGTTCAGTGTAATATTGCTATGCCATTATGTAGTTGACAATGGATGTAAAAACTAGAACAAATTGTAGAGATGACTCACATATGTACAGTGTAGCTGTGTAAGTCATTGCATTATATACAATGAACTATAATGATCAGAGTACATGTATTATATTATAATGTTTTGTATATGAATGCATAGAAATATATATTTCTATGATGAACCCGAGAAGAGTTTTTGAGGTGTGTCTAAGTGACATCCAACAGTGATTCAGTCACCTTGTTATTTTTCAACACATATTATTTCAGTTATTGGGGGGAAATTATTTTAAAGGGACTATCCCGATTTGAACAGAGTCTCAAAAATAAAAGTCTGAGTAAGTATAAAATTTAAGCACCAAAATATAGAGGAATGGTGTATTTATCTAGTCCCAAAAATTCAGCCCAAAATATTGAGTCGTTTGGACGTGAACGCCAAAACTGCTTATCCGGACACGTAACCATTTTAAGATTTCGGATCAATTTTTTCGTTGGGTGACCTAATAATCGATTCCCGTTCCTTTAGAGGTCTATACAGTGAATGACCAATGTGCTGTACTTGATAACGAAAGGTAAATTTCACCTACACATTATTTTTATAAAATAAAAATCTGGTTTTATCCAGATACCGAATAATACAGCTTGGGACACCGGTCTCCGTTTCTAGATTAAGACTGACGGGTTTAAGTTGTTTGAAAACGTATCACATATATTGAGTTAGTTGCTCAGCCCTAAGGTAGAGGATTATAAGGGATTTTAACACAAAACTAAGCAGTTTTATGCTCCGAAATATTATAGGGATTGGCTCTTTAAAGAATACATGAAAAATTTTAAGCTACTGAAACCAAATCTACCACATGAACATTTTTTCCAAAATCCTTTTGATACGGCCACTCTGAAATGCTGATGTATTTTTTGTCCCATGATCTCTTAGAAAAATCTTGTGGACTCTCTTAGAGGATAAAGTTATTAATTGATTGCTTGAATACACAGTGTTTATGTTTATGAGATGAATTGATTTTCAATGACTTACAGTGATTACATTCACAGAGTTATGGCCCATGATTACTTTTAAGAAATGAAATGAAATGGGGTTTAGCGTCCTACTTTTCTGCTCCTAACCTGGGCTAATGAAGACGGGCATACGCCATACAGTGTGCTATGAGGGAAATTTTGCCCGGGCAGCGGCGCTATGGCCTACTCTTATATCGAATTCCAACTGCCACGGGATCTTTTACGTGTACGCCAATGTGTACACGGTACCTTGGTTTTTCGTCCCATCCAAACGACTAGACAGCTTTACTTGTCAGCCCCACCGTCCTGCATCACTGACAAGGGAGAACCACGCCGGAAAATCTGGATGAACTTTCTCGGCCAATGCAGTGATCGAACACCCGACCTCCAGGCTAGCGAGCTATCGTCTTACCCACTTAGCCACGTGATCCCCATGATTACTTTTAAAAATCTTACAGATACTTTAATGACTAAAACTATCACTATTATCCAATTGATTTGTAATGACTAGAACTATCACTATTATCCAATTGATTTGTAATTTATACAGAGTGTTTATGTTCATGAGACAAAGAAGTCTATTGATTTCCAATAACTCAATCAGCTAACCTTGTCATCTGACTACATGTATCAGTACATGTTTTGTATAATATATGCTAGTACTCTGAAACCTATTAAATTTTAATTATTTCTGATGATCATATCATAGGTTGTTACTCTGGATCCGTTTTTATTCGCCCACATTGAAATATAGTTGTATATTGATGTCACAATAAATTTTGGTTTTGATTATTGTGGTGAATACTGATTGCGACAATTTCTAAGAATTTATAGAGTCATTGCCTTTGATATGTCATATAAACTTGCCAATCACCCAATGGCATTATACAGTTTAAATTTATTTTTATTATTTACATAAAGAATTTTAATGTGACAACCTATTATGCTTAGCTTGGACGAATTGGCTGATGTTTGCCTCAGTTTTTTAGACTAGCAACCTATCGTTAGTGTCTTGTCTTGACTGGACATTTCTTGTCTTCATCAAGCAATGATAGAATATATGTAAAATCAATACAGTTAACGATGACCAATTAGAGAAATACCCCTAATTACCATGAAGTAGGCTGTTAATTACTACATGTAAATACCATTGAAACAATTATCATTTAACTTGTTAGCTGAAGTTGTTTTCAAATGGCAAACATGCTTATATTATATATGTACCTAGCCATACACCTAGTGTGGAATTTAATCTTTAATTGTCTGACATAATATACTGATTATACTGGTGCATATGTAAATGTATATTACATCATCTAATTTAGATTGGTAAATTACATGAACATGTATGCTAAATGTAGCATGAAGCTTGAGTTATGATTAATGAATGTTAAAACTATCTAAAACTAATTACTATATTTAATTAGTTAGGATAATATATGCTTGTGACCTGGGAGTAAAATTGTTAAATATATACTTACTCATTGATGTTTTTTTTTTTAAGTGCCAACTAATTATAATAACAGTAATGTAGTAATGGGGGGGGGGGGGGTGGGGGATACAATTAGGTAAAGACATGGTGCATTATAAAAATTTACAATTAGACATATGTAAGTACATGTGTAGCAAGGTGATGGTCATTAGAATTGGAACGGCCATAAATTCATTAGACATATGACAGACTCAGTTATAAATGCATCCATTTATTTGCAGATTTACACTGTTTGTCCTCACCCATAAGAAGGTAGGGCTGTGGTTTTGGAATTTGGACATTTTTGCTTTTTTAGAGATTTCAGTCAGATATGACATAATAATGTTCAACAGTTCGAATTTAAAGCAAATGTCTTGTTACTTGTGTAAGCTGGTTATTGACACCCCCTCCCCTCTATTGTGAAAATTTTATAACCCCTAGCAGGTATGACTAAGCTATACTTTTGGTATTTATAATACATGTGTTTTATCTGAAAGAATCTTGTAAGAGTGTTTGTAGTTGTTTTCTCTGCGTTGGTGAGAGGTTATAATTAATGACTTGTTTGTTATATTATATTTAATGACTTGTTTGTTATTATAGAATCCCAGTAAAAGATGGAAAGTACGATGGTTTACATTAGAAGAGGAAATATTATCATGTTATCATAAATCCAAGAAGAATGTAATGATAGAAACATTTCCTTTAAAAGGTTGTGCTATTGTTTGTCCATGTTTAGATGAACCAGGGTTAAATCCTCAGGTAAATATATTGTTATCTATCTGATGTGTGTTTCTTATCCTGGGGGGGGGGGGGGGGGGGGGGTAAAGTCAGGGGAATGAGCACAGGTAAATGTATTTTTATCAGGGTTGTAATGTTAGGCGAACAAGCACAGAAAAAAGAAAAAGGAGAGGTTGCATTTAAATTTGTTGTATGATGGTTGTGATGATACAATAAAATCTTATCTTATAGTTATACATTATGTTTTTTTGGGGTTTTTTGTTTTTTTTAAATTGATGTTTGCTTTTGATCGAAGGAGCACAGTAAAGAGTAAGAAGGTATTATTTCACCAATAAAAAAATATTTGTTTATTACAGTGTCTAGTGAAAATATGTATGCCTACAGGAGAGGAGTTATTACTACTGGCTGCTGGACAAGAAGATAGAGATGGTTGGGCTCATGCTATAAGTGCTGTTATACGCTCATTAACTTCATCAGAAGAGGTAAGTAAACCAATAAATATTTCATTTCCACTAAATATTAAGAGTTATTGCCCTTGATATGCTTTTATTGCATGTAATGACATGAAGTTTAACGTCCTACATTTCTGCACTGACTGGGATAATGAAGATGGGCATATGCTGTGCAGTAGTGTGTGCTGTTACAGAAATTCCAACTGCCAAGGATTCTTTTACATGCTAATATGGCCATATATTAAATCTGGAATGGCTTACCTGAACCCTAACTCTTGTTCACTGCAGTACAAGTAATGTGTCAAGATGTTTTAACATATATTTTATTTTCAGAAATCTCCTCATAAGATGCCTTTTAAAGATTTTAGAGCCTATGCAAATGTGAGGTGGGTATACTAGTGATATAGTATTATATATATAATTATGATATCCTAATTTTAAACTAAAGAGATATAAATGGCATCCATTTTAGCACATAGGGGTGGGGGTGGGGGAATTGCCGAATGGTTAGCATGTGCGCAGCCGCATTGTATCGTAAGGTCTGTCATTGAGTCAACTGACGTGTTTTCGATTCCCAGGTTGTACATGACAGGAGTAGGGTCACCTGTCCAACCTTGTGGGTTTTCTCTCGGTTCTCCGGTTTCCTCTCGTTGCTAAAGGCCCCTATGCGCAAGCGAATTATTGAAATAAAAATTGAACCATGTGTTAGTCCCAAAATGACCTAGTTTGTGTTGAGTGGATGTAAAACCATCTCTCTCTCTCTCTCTCTCTCATAAAAAAATTGGACATCATCTAGTATATAACCATGCAAAAGAAACTAGAAAGACTTTACCAAGGATGCGTAGAGTGTGATATTACAAACATAGAGTTAGCACATGCATTAATATTTGAATATTATTTTATTTAACAGTGAAATTATTGGAGCAATTCAAGAACCAGGAGCTGGTATTGAAACATCTTCACATGTTAGAGGCAGCAATGTTTATAAAAACTGTTTTAAAGGTACATATTCTTTACTTGTTCAGACTGTTCATACTTTGGTCTAATGTTGAATGTGACAAAAAGCTTCTTTTGACATCCATGTTGAAAATCTTATTTAATGACACAGCAAAGCTGTGCTCGATTGCAGTCAATGTAATTAAATAATGGTTCCTTCCCACCCATGTTCCACCCATTTAATGTATTTTTAGTAAGAAATTGGATTGCAGACTGGATTTTATTGAGGTAAACAATTGAATATTAATCGGTTTGATGTTCGTTTTATACATTTTTATTTGTCCTCATTTAATGTGGAAGTATAAATAATTATCCTCAATCTTGTTAGTCAACTAGACATAAAGATGAATCCTAACAAAAGTTGCACATCCGTGAACCAAAGCATTTTAGCACCTTTAAACCTTCCCTTTAAAATGAATGTTTGATAAAATTTCAGGTAGTGATGTAGTTGATTGGTTAATGAGATGGTCAATTGTTCGTAATCGAGGTAATGGTGCTGCCATGGCACAAACTCTACTAAAATTAGGACATTTTCAGGAAGTAGATATGAAAGATGGTAGTGATGGTGTTAGTCAGAAGTTTAATGATAATGATAAACTCTACAGATTTGTAAGTTTACTCTATATAATCCACACTGACAGAAACTACAATATATATTTATCAAATATTTTAACATTCCTATAAAATTAAACATACATTATGCAAGAGCTGAATCTGCCTATTGCAGGTCTTTCTCTAGGCCTGAAATGTTTTTCTAAATTATTAATTAGACATTAATTAACTGATCCATGCCATAATCAACTCTCGATGGCATGGGATTTCTCCGATATGAAATAGATTAGAACGGTTCAGCCATATTTTAATTTAATTTAAAAATGGAGGGGCGAGACTTAGCTTCGAACAATCAGTATGGTGCTTACAATTATTGCACATTTTGTCAAACCTGCAATGGCTAATATCTTTGCATGCAATAGAGTAATTGGAATGAAATTATACATTTTACATTATCTATTTTCGAAGTATTATAGCAAGAATGGCTAGCTCTTTATCTAAATCTTACATAATGCATCTTTAAACTGCGAAATCACTGCCATCAAGAAAAATATCTAAATAACTTCACTACTTTATTTTGACCTAAATAAAATATTATAAGTAATGTAATGTGTGTTATATTTATATAGACATCTATTAATCTGGGAGCTAAGAGAAATAGTTACTATGATAGTACAGACAGTGAATCAAGTTCTTCTGAGGAAGAAGAGGAAACAGACAAAGATGAACAAAAAACAGAAAGATTAAGGAAAGGAAAAATTTTAAAGGAGTCTTTTCTTTTGAAAAAGGTAAATTACATTTGCAATGGATTAGCATATGATTGTTTATTCAATGGGGGATCACGGTGGCTAATGGGTAAGACACTGGAGATCGGGTGTTCGATCCCTGCATTGGCCGAAAAAGTTCATCCAGATTTTCCGGCCTGGTTCTCCCTTGTCAGTGATGCAGGATGGGGGGCCTGACAAGAACAGCTGTCTTGTCGTTTCGGATGGGACGCAAAACCAAGGTCCTGTGTACACATTGGCGTGCACGTAAAAGATCCCTTTGACAGTTGGAATTCAATATAAGAGTAGGCCGTAGTGCCGCTGTCCAGGCAAAATTTCCCTCATAGCACACTGTATGGTGTATGCCCGTCTTCATTAGCCCAGTTCAGAGCAGAACAGTAGAACATTAAACCCCATTTCATTTTATTTTCATTTCATTTGTTTAGTCAAGCTATATGTGATGTGGTCACAGAATTACTAGAGACATTTATAGAGTTGTAACTAACAAAACAAAGGTTAAATATAAAAGTCCATTGCATAAAAAATGAAACAAAATTTAGATCTGTATTTTGACATAACGATTTTAAAAATATTTTTGATATCATCCTGTAGATACTGTCACAGCCATTTGTCACAAACTATAGGGTTAATGTTGCATTTGAAAGTGTGTTTGATGAATCATCAACTTGAAAGTGTTTTGTTTGATGTATATATCTCATTGTAAAAATGCTTGTATCACATATAGATAATGATGAATTATTTATGACTAATGTATATTCTATTCAGGAAGACAATATGCAAGGAAATGACTACTTTGATTCAGTAAAAGACATTGATAATCACCTACATATAAAGATTGGGTTGTAACCGGATCCTAGACTCACTTGAAATTGTATTTTTATACATGGACTAATTATTAATATTTATTGTTAATAATTATTTTCAGAGAAATTTAAGAAAAGGTTGGAGAGTAATTAAAGCTACATTAAAAGATAGCCCTTTACATATACAATACCAAAAGGCAGCTGATTCTGTGGTAAGATATTAGATAATAAGTAAAAAAGGCATGATGGGAGCACCGACAATTCAAGTTTCCTGGAGGATTGGGGTGCATGCTAACCCTCTGCACCCCGGAGAAAATTTTGACTCCATTAAAGGCTCAATACCACTCTACAATACTACTTTACAATATTTCAATTAATTGATGATACAAATTTCATCTTAACACACCTAATTTAAAAAATTGGAAAAATTCAACTAAATGATTTGAAAAGCCTGACGTAAAGCTTTTCAAATGTGACTTGGATTTATATATATTTTTGAACCCTTTGGACAAGTAAAATAGGATTTAATGGATAATTTACACAACAGGTAGGACACTAACACATCTAGTACTTAGAATAAGGCTATTTATTATTTTCTGGAGCTGTCAAGCCAGCAAGAGTGTTATTGTCCCTTTAAACTCCTCCTCCCTCAAACCATTGAGAACATTTTTAAAATTGGACTCCATTTAAAATAATTGCAGTGAATTTGATACCAAATTTGGGTTGAGGGGGTGCATGCCAACCTCCCATACCTCCCCCAAATTTGGGTATAATAGTTTGATAAATACATTTTCTTTTTGGATACAAAATAGATTGTCTTGCATTAGATGTGCAAGCTTTTTTGAAGTTGGATGAAAGGGGAGGTGTCCCGATCACACCTTTTTTAGGCTATGTGGGGTAATGACCCCCTTCTGGCTATGCCAATGTTGTTTTGATGTTTCAAGATATGTTATATTATATTGTAGTTGATGAGTCCAGTTAAATCAAGTAAAGTATTTTATCTAGATGATAGTACCATAACAGAAACAGTCAAACCTGCTACAGAAAAAGGTAAAATATATCATTTTTTCTATTTACATCCTTATCTTGTTTCAAAGCGAAAAATCAAATATCTATAAAAGTATGCACGAGTTGTTTCATTCAGCTATTGAATGGCATCAAGCTCCATATAATGTTGTATTTATCATATCGAACAGTTGAATAGGTGATTTATCTCCCTTGATAGAATCTACTTTAACATAGGGGATGCTCGATTGAACGTTCCAGAATTGAATTCTCTCAATCCCAAAAATAGTGTCAATCGAGTGAAAAGGAGAATTTCGGAGTACAACGCATGTGCCGACTGCATAAAAAATATCTAAACCAATCATGGCAGCTGAAACATATTTGCTATCTAAAATATGTCACGATTCTACTCACACCACCTCAGCTGTTGGGACTGGCAGAACTGTGATATGACTTAATTCTGTATCACTTGATTGCAGTTCTGTCAATTCGGGACGTTCCAGGCTGACAATCGAACATCCCCTTTATATTGTATTTATCATATTGCATAGTTTAGTAGGTGATTTATCTCCCTTGAAAGGATCTACCGCAACATATAGAAGATAAAATGATGTAGAATGATATATTGATTAGTAGATGGAAGTAAATGAAATACTCTTTAGAAATGGTCACAAAAATCAGTTCCCTTGCATGCTGAAGCATGCTTAAACTAGAGTTATTTCCCTTTTCATATTTTAGATTTTTGTATTTCAGCAGGTGGTTCAAAGTATAAAAGTGCCCGATATAGAGTTAGTATCCGTAATAGTAAAGGTAAATGTATAACACTACAGTATAAAGATGAACAAGAGAAATATGAATGGTTGCCTTTCCTACAGACAAGCTCCAAAACTCCATAATTTCTACTGAATTTAATATTAAACAACCTGCCATTAGTTTTTAGGTTGTAACCATGGTTTGTTAACTTGTTTTTATATGGTATATTGGTAAATGTATTTTACACTTCATTATTACGTTATACATGTAGAATGAACAAATTGTTTAAATTTTGCATTTTACAATTATGTATTTTGAAAATTGAGATTTATATCATTTTTGAATCCTGCATTATGGGATGTTTAATTATCCTCGGTATTCCCATGGGGGAAACACATAGTCAAATTATCCACCCTTGATATTTGTGCTATTTTTATTGACCAATCAAAAAATTCCATAAAGATAAAGAGAGTGGGCAAAGAGAGGTAACTCACATTTTGTTGAAACTAAGATCGCGGAATCATTGTAAACTTTGTCAAAATACTTTAAGACATCTTTTTGTGTGCATGTCAATTCTTTAACATTAAATTTCTTTCAAAGTTTCTTATAATCAAATTTACAAACTGCTGTATTGAGGTGAACATAAACAGTGATGCTAAGACTGGTATTGTAATCTGTTTTTTGATTGGTTCGTAGACACAACCTATGTGGCCAATGAAATCATCAAGGGCAGATAATTTGAATACCCCGTAAATGGACCCAGGGATCAATGGAGTAGATCAGAATGATACCACTGGAGATACCGAGGATGATGTTAAATTGAAAGACTACATTTATTTTTGGTCTTTTTCTACAAACTAGTCAGTTTTACTATTTTCTATGCAAACCTAATCTATATAAAACTGTAAACAAGGTTGTGTATATAGATATGAAATTTGCCAGTTTAGTTATAAGACTCATGTTTTAAGAACAGTATTTACTTTAGATTGTTTTTTAACATAGTTTTATATGTTATTATTTTATGACAGGATATATTCAACTGAATGAATACTTCAACAGATTATTTGTCAGGAATGATAACTTGTAAAATTGATCAGAATATCTACAATTTATATGCCTTGCATCTATGCATGATCAGCTAACAGGTAGCGAAACAACTGCTGATTTTTCCACATACAGATCAAGTTAAAATATTTTCAAAATGGAAACGTAACTGACATAAAGAAAAATGTTGCTTTGTTTTTTGGGCCAATGTTCCCTAGATGTTGGTAATAAAACTGCTGATCTGTTGCCACTATTATTGTTTTCTTATTTTTTTTATGTCAGTTTTCTCTGTTTATAAGTTGTTGTTTTTTTTTTTGTTAAGAGTTTACCTTTTGTTATTTTTTTTTTCTTTTATTAACAAACCACCAAATAGAGAGAGAGATTTTGATCGAGATTCAAAATTTTTATGTGATTTCAAAGATATTTGAATCATTTCATTGTTTAATTAAAAGAAATATGATTTCTTGTCATGTGGAATATTTTATATATACTTTTTAATATGCATGTTTTTATTTAGGTTGATTAGAGAAATTTCAGTGATAAACTCTACACTGATCATTAATTATGTCAACTGGATATTTTCAATGGTAGTACTTTAATTAGTATTACCCTGTTAAACATGGTTTATATAGGGAAAGATCTGGCTCAAACTTACACCACAGTGGTGTAGCTGAAAGATGCCCTCACCCTATTGCAGAACTCACTTGTACCAAAGAATATCTGTCCAATTATGGACAGACTTGTTCGATCCCTGCATTGGACGAGAAAGTCCATCGTGAATTTCTGGTGTGGTTGAATCCGGACTTACCACTGTTATACTAGAATTACCTGTATTCATCATGCTATAAAGATAAAATTGAACATGCTAAGATGTGGAAAACATTCATCCTCTCTTGGGATAATGATAGATTCTTTTAATAGTCATTTTGTTTTGAAACTATATCAGAGGCACAGGAGCTATTTATATTTAAAATGGGAATCATTTTAACCAAAAATAAACAACTTAAAGTCTTCCGATGTTTTTAAATGAATATAATGTAAATTATCATAAATTATGTCATATTCTAATATTAAATGTTCATTCATTAGTCATGTATGTATATACTCTCTTATCTAGTTATTCTGTTAGACATAAAACTTGTTTTTTTAAAATTTATCTGCAAATATGTGTTTGTTTTATCATATAATTCTATTAAAATAGAATGAAGGGGTTGTTAGCCACCAAACTATTTACATAACAATCAGTGCCAGATCTACCTATACGTTTGGCATGCTTTTATTAAACGTACTGTAATCTTAAACATCCGTCATCATCCTCGGCCTTACTCCGTTTTGTTTAAAACACTCTAGTAGTAAGGGTTAGGGATTGGGAGTGGCCTCACAATTGGAATAATTTAGGGTCTTTGTTCACCCAAATCTGGCACTGATGGCAATATACAGAAAGACTTTCCTCAGAAACGTTCATTAGCCCAGTTAGATGTTAAATACCATTTCATTTCAATATAATCTAGGCTATTATGTCTGTGGGTTGTACACTAGTAAACAAAAAATTAAAGATGCATTATGCAAGAGCTAAATCTTTAGGCCTGAAATGTTATCTAAACTATTAATTAGACATTAATTAACCTATCCAGACCATAATCAACTCTAGATGGCATCGCTAGCCTGTGATCTTTAGTGGATTATGAGAAAATTTACTGCATAACTTTCCTTCACGATTTAACGATCAAATGGATAATCGAGATTATGTTGTTTATCGTACTGACTTTAGTAATGATGATCAAGGCTAGCCGGAAATTTCAACCGCTTAGTTCTCGGTTCATAGTGGATCAATTTGAATGAAATTTTCAGCAAATTGCCTTTACTGTATCTAGTTGTTAACTATTATAGTGAGAACTGCCAACTCGTTATCGAATCTCCAATAATGTATCTCTAAAGATGCATTATGCGAGATTGGAAATTCTGTAGCCCAGATTGTTTATTATCGTAGCAACTGTGCTGGACAGTAAAACCTATTGGCCTGATTAAAGGCGATTTTGTAGGGGTCTTAGAACTCTTTATTCAAGTCCCAAGCAACTATTTGTATGTTTTCAAAGAAATATCAATATAACGTCCATATGACGGTGTTGCTGGAGACAAACATCTTGGTAGTGGCCTGGATACCTTATCTATAGCATTGTTGCGTTTTGTTTTGTTTTGGGGTTTTTTTTAGCGAATTTCGTGTTTCAATTATCTCTCGGCAAAGTTAACGATTTTTTTAATTACTAACGGTTATCAAATAGTTCTGTATGTCGGACCACTCTATAAAAAAATTGGAGTCGAGTTACGTAACCCCTATAAAGTAGTTTGACGATTTGATTTGCCAACTTGTCCTTTAATTTTACGCGATGATTGCCCCCGGTTTGATTTCGTATACGTTTTGTGTATTTTTACCGTGCTGAACCATATGTGTTTTGGAGACTTTCGTGTGTCCATACACACTTTAAATGCAATTAGATTGAAAAGAAAACGTGAGTTTATAATTCAACATTAAATTTTTTAATATATCAGACCTGTCATACCAATAATAATATCTGTAGTCTGTGACTGTCTGTAAGAAGTTAACACGTTAATCGCTAGGCAGATATAAGGGGTTAACAATGGAGGAGTTAACGAGCCGACAAAATTCACATATTAAATAAAAGCCTTCGAAATTTGGATTGCTGAAGGGAGAATGATGTGAGATAATGAAATCTAACCAGATGGTAATTTGGACCAAGATGGAAATTGCAATTCCGTCGTCTCACTAATCGGGAAAATGTACACGTCTGTCTTAACGTTAATGTCGACGTAAAACCATAACATGCATAATTTGTTTTGTTTTTTTAAACAGTTGGAATTGCAGAGTGATAAGCAATTCCTGTAAGGCAAACACCTAGACTCTTTTAGAATTGGTAATGGAATTTACCCGACAAAATAGATTATTGAAATATTCAATATCAAAAGACTGATATGTTTTAAAAAGCTAAACAGTGGACATAGGATTTAAATAAATAGTCAAAAAAATAGTTGCTATGTCTTTATAGTGGTTTCGATCTGAAACTTTTGCGTGACAAGGAGTAAGGTCGCCTGCCTAACATCGTGGGTTTTTACTCGATATTGCAGTTTCCTCCCACTGTTAAAGAGCCCTATATCCGCGCATAAATACTAATTGTTGAAATAACATTGTACCATATTATGTTAGTCACGAAATGATCTAGTTTGTATCGAGTGGACGTTAAACCCATTTCTCTTTCTCTCTGTTGCAGGGGCAGATTGGGTCATCGGGCGATGGGCCGGTCGGACAAAAAATTAAAAAAAATAATTTTGTCCAATTCGTCTACAAAACCCTTTTCCTGCTGAACATTATATAGGGGGGGGGGGGGGGGGGTATGGACCGGCCATGGAGCGATGATGATCATGTTGTATGTGGCCGGTGGCTTTAACGGGCCGCCACGCCATCACTGGAATCTGGAATGGGCTGGTATAACGGACTTTCTGGGCCGGGTGTGCTGGGTGTGGGCCGGAATTCGGAATCCTGCAATGGGGATTCCGAATTTCATCCGAAAATTTCATCGAATTCACCCGACACTGTCGCCCGCAAATTTACTAATTATTAAGTCACCTGCACCCTGTTTGTGGGGATGCGCCAGAAACGTCTGCCGATGGTTCGTAACTCCAAAAATATTCAATTTTAAGGCCTCAGCAAAATTTGACGATAGCTGGTCTGCTTGCTGAATATAAGTCCGAGACGATTTCCTGAGGCTGGTGTTTAAAAACATTCCTTGACATTTTTATAAACTCGTTATTTTCAGAGATGAAATTACAGAATTGGGATGTCGGGATTTCCAAAAATTCAAAAATGAATTGTGTCCCGTGCGCCTATGCATGTCCGCTCCCACTCCGTCAAGGCCACCTGTTATTCAGTATTCATAACTGGTTAATAAAATGGTCAAAATTTTCTCAACAACTCCCATTTTTTAACCAGTTAAATTCTATTGACTCTTGACGATACAATGATAATATGTTAATTAATAATATGACGATATGATAATTTCACAGGTTGATGGTTGTAAATTACTTGCAGGTCGGGGTTTTGGCCTAAATTAATCGATTTATGAGCTATATTATTTGACAGATTATAATCAGATATGCCAACAAATCGCATATTTGGGGTTCATTTTTTAAAAATATCTGCTTAAGATAGGGTCGTCCTCGTGCTTATCGGCCAATCAACGTCAGGGGCGGATTGGGCCGGGGACCGGCCCGGACCCCCCGTTCGGACCCCGCGGTCAGTAAAAGGGGGCGCTCCGACACGGGAGCCCGGGCCGGTTCCCGGCCCCAATCCGCCCCTACTCTGTTGCCTAGATAAAATTTGTAGGAATACATTTATTTGTAGCTTAAGTATATCTTTATCAAGTTTTGGTACTGTATATTATTTCGAGTGCGACCTGAGTATATACAATACTGATATAATTCAGCTATGTTTAAATGATTAAACCTATAATTTATATGATATATCGGGGTTTCAATAGTTTGTTGTGGGTGTTAGATGAATTAAATCCGTCATTAATGTAAAACAAAATAGGGTAGACCAAGGGGATGCCGTGAAATAGTGTGGGTTTGACAAACACTCTACGACAATCGTGTTCTGTGATAGCCATTTTCCAAATAAAACCTATCGTCAGAGCGACGGTATAACTTTTATGCCTACTGAAGGAAAACGTAAGAAGAATATTCAGGATTTTCCGTCCCTATTTCCTACTCTCAACAGTATATATGTAGTCAGTTGACAAGCAGTAGGAGGTGACAGAAATTGCAATAAACAAGTTATTTTTTCACAGACTGGCAGAAATATCGTGTGGAAGAAAAATTAAATCCCGTGCATGACATACGCTACGTACATGCCAAGGTGACCTCGATATTTTCGCCCCATCCGAACGACTAGGCGATCTTCCTTGCCAGACACTCCATCCTTATATAATCTACTAAATATATTGGATAAAAGAACATTTGTTCAAAGTTGAAACTTTTATACGACTGTGTGTCAGGAATTATCACATCAAATCTAATGCAGTTTTACTGGGGATTGGAGACAACCAACCATACACCTATAGTATTATGTTAAATGTTGTATTCTGTTACAAAAACATGTCTTATTCAAATTATCTTAGAATGCTGAAATTAGTAAGAAGTAGACAGGAACAACCCAGTTGGTCTGGTTTTAACAACAGTGTATGAAGGATATAGGTTTCATTCAGTGGGATACATTTTTATTTAGTTACAAAAATAGACCTGAACCTTACATATTAACTATCAGGCGGTAGGCTTGTGTAATATACACTGCAGTATTCAGTAGGCCTAAAAATAATAAGTAATATCAAATAATAGCTAATCAAATACTTATTCTAATAACAAACTTAAAACATGCAATTACATAAAGATAACGAGGGAGCCGCGGTGGCTAACCAGGAGGTCTCAGGTTCCATCCCGGTGTCGACCGAAAAGGTTCCTGGGATTATTTCGGTGTGATTTCCCCATATCATTGCTGCAGGACCGGAGAGCCTGGCATGGAAAATGTTTAGTCGTTTAAACGAAAAACAGGTGTCGTGTACGTACGTTGTCGTGCTCGTAAAATAACTCTTTACAATTGGAATTCGAAATAAGGGTAGGTCGTAACGCTGCTGTCCGGACAAAATTTACCTCATAGCACACTGCGTGCATGGCGTGTATGCTTGTCTTCGCTCGGTCGGTGCAGAACAGTAGGAAGCTAAACCCCATTTTAATTCATTTAAGACACAACAACAAAGACAAAAAATAAACAAGAGAGGATAAATCAATATCTGTTGTACGAAATAAAAACGGGATAAAATCTATACGTAACCGTCCTTAATGCAAGAAGCCGAGCAAACCCGGGTAGCAAGTCAAACCAAGACACCGACAGAAAATCGAATGAAAAATTTACAAGTATGAGAAATTGGTACATCGCTCATTCGTGGTTTCTAACGTAGACAAATACTCAACCTTCCGATTGGCGATAATATTTGAACGAATCACGTAACGAGTTCCGTAATGTAAAAAGTCATTAAAGTTTAGAAACCGACGTATATAATGTTTTTATAGTTAAACAATGAAGGA